TCCGCACCGATCGGCTAGGTGATGGGAAGTGGAAGATGTCCTCCCTCCTTCCCTCCCTGTAGTCTTTTGGGACACGTGACAGGTCCCAGAAGACTACAGGACCATTCAGGAAGTGCAGCGCTACTCGCGCAGCATGTGCAGTGGGTACCCGGCTGTGAAGCCGCAAGCTGTCACAGCCGGGTGCCCAGACTGAAGATGCCGGCATCAGGGAGAGAAGACGGCCAGTAAAACGGGCTGCAGGGGACAGGTGAGTGCCTGTTTTTTAAAAGTCAGCAGCTACAATTTTTGTAGCTGGTGACTTTTATTTTTGACAGCGTGAGTGGAACTCCGCTTTAAAACCAATTTATGGAAAGAAAAAAACACTGCCATTAAGCCTGGGTTCACACTGATGCGTTGTGGAATTTGCACCGGTTTTTGTGCGATTTCCGCACTGCATCATAATCGCACCCCGTTCATATGAACCTTTGAGGGTGTGTATTTTAAGTTAACGACACCCCAAAATCAGTTTGCAAAACACGGTGCGATGTGTAGAATTCTGGTGCCGACTAAAAAAGGGTCCTGCACTTTTTTGGTGCGGATGCGGTGTGATTTGAGTCATACAAAATGTATGGCTCCAATTGCACCGCACAGAAATCGCATGTGATTTGCACAGGAATGTGGTGCGGTTCCTGTGCGAATGACATGTGATGTGCCGCACCGCATCAATGTGAACCTGGACTAAAGGATAAGTTCACCTTTCATAACATCTTACATGTTACACCAATATTCAGGGTGTATGTTATGAAATGATTGCCCACCACTTCCCCGTTTTGACAGCTAGTGGGGGAACTTACCAGGAGGCTGTTCCACCCAGGAGCCTGGACTGACACCTCATCGAGCTGCTGAGAGCCTGAGCCAGTTGCTCACATCCCCTCCACAGCCCAGTGCTCCAGTGAGCGCTGGGGGGTGTCAGAGCAGACGGCGTGGTGACTGACAGTCGCCGCTCTCTGTTCAGAGTGGCAGAGAAAACTGAGCAGTGTCAGCAGCCTTACAGCCGGCGGGGGACAGATACAACACTGAATTGATGCTGCATCCATCTGGATGAGTATAATTTTTTTTTTGTAATTTCTCTTTTAATTTAAATCAATATCAAGGGTAATATTTTGTATTCGGCTGCCCAGGGGGATCATTGTTTAATTCTAAATGTAGGAAGATTAGTAATATTTTTTTAACTTACTTAACAGATATAACAAACAAACACTTTCAATGGTATAAATAACAGACCAAAAAGGACCAAATACATCAACCCATAGATTAGTAATTTTGTTCTACCAGAGAATCCACCTCAAATGTGTGGATTGGGGAATCCTTCCTGCTGAGCTACAGTATTCTGACAGTGGGGAGACTTCCGTGCCATCAGAATACACTGATCAGTGCTGCCGGCTACAGCCTATGGCACTAGTCAAGTGAGGAAAGCCTGACAGGGTGGTTGTAGCTGCTCATTCATGTATCTGAACCAGCCAAATTTCAATCCATGTATGGCCGCATTAAAGTGGTGAGTGGCCTTAGGTGAAACACAGAGATGAAACAAATCCTTCTACAGCATTCTACCTGTTAATTTATATAGCTTGTCTGAGCTGTCAGAAAAAAGGGGGCGGAGAGCTGAAGTTACACTCTGCAGAACCCAGTGAGAGCTGATTGGAGGGAAGGTACACACCCCTCCTCTTTACACAGCACACTGAAACAAAGCTGAGGCTGTCATCACAGGATGTGTGCCGGAGCTCCCTCCCTGTCACCATTTTTCTCTTGTTCTCAGCAAAACCTGTCAGAAGTGATTCATGATAATAGCAAAGGAATGAAGTAGGAGACAGAAATGGCACTTAGTGTTCTTAACTGCGACTAGTACACACTATAGAGGGATATGTTTGGTTCATATTTCATGTCTGACCAGGGGCGGACTGACCATTTGGAAACTCGGGCACTGCCCGAGGGCCCGGGGTCAGTAGGGCGCCCCATGAGATGCCCCTGGTACCTTTTTCATAGGCTTTTGAGTTTGGGCAAGGACACAGGGGCCCCATGATCCCATATTGCCCGGGGGCCCCATGAGTTGTCAGTCTGCCCCTGTCCCTGACATTTACAACCACTTTAAGTTAATTGTTGGGGTTTACATCCACTTTAGGAGGGGTCTGGATCTCCTTGCTGGATTCTCAGTTGCATGCATCTTATAAGGTAACAAAAGTAGTGACAACAACCCTTAAGCAGCTAGAGCAGTTAGACACCACGAATGGTGGAAGACAGCCCTATATTACGACAGAGAAATCTGATCACTTAAAATGTTACTAAACTCAGGACCCTGCATTCACTATATCCGGTCTCCCACAGTACACAGAACATGGAAGTGCAATTATTTTAGTAAATATAAACTGCTAAATACCTTTTCTCATCAGCAGAGCAGTCTTGCGACTTCTATCAGTGTTCAGCAGCGCACACATGTTAAAGCTTGTAGGAGGACTTTTCATTCTGTTCCAGGAGGATGCAAACCCCTGACCTCTGTCTGGACAGTGCTGATTGGCCCTGTGCTGATCACTTGCACTCTCCCAAGAAAAAAAAACCCTCTAGGAATACACACTAAGTTGAGCATGTGCAGAATGGCTACGACGTGGACATTTGAACATGAGGAGGAGCAGAGAAGTCAGGATCAAACAGCCTTTTTACACAATGCAGAGGATTATCCCCTTAGGTTCCATAGTGAGCATATCAAGCATGATTTACTGCATATACAGACTGATTTTACTGTTGTGGGCTTAGTAACACTTTAAAGTCTCCAAGAAACATAACAGGCCAGCAGGAAATGCAGCCAAACAGACCACACCCATAACCGAAATTTCAAGTGGACTAATAAATGGGTTTGCATAAATAGTCTATATTTTTAATTTGTCTGGGTTGATTGATGAGTTTCAACAGCTGCCAAAAACAGACTATGGATGAACTAACATACTCAGCAGACATGTAAGTGCAAATCTCTGTATGCTTTACTATTAGCAGCATAATACCAAAGCGGTCTGCCACAATCCCTTTCATTACTATGTAATCACAGCCTCTCCCTTCCATTCACAGCTGCCAGATTATTTGTGAACATTCAAGGATACCCTGTGGCTGGCCAGGCTCTGTAATGAGTAATCCTGTACTGTACATAATACAACACAGGAATTATAGAAGTAAACAGCCCCAGGAACCAAGGAGCAGGGAGGCAGACATAGTACATGGATCTTTCAGTCAGAAAACTTTTAATACAGTATTTTGGGAACACCAGGCTTAAAGCGGTAGTACACCCAAAACCAAAAATGTAATATATTGCAGATTACCAATTATTAGATGTGGTGGCTGCATTCATTTTCTTTTTTATTATGTATTTATTTATTTCAGGTACTTATATAGCACTGTCAATTTACACAGCGCTTTACATATATATTGTACATTCACATCAGTCCCTAACCCTCAAGGGGCGTACAATCTAAGGTCCCTAACTTACATTTATACATACACATATTAGGGCCAATTTAGACAGGAGCCAATTAACCTGCCAGCATGTATTTGGAGTGTGGGAGGAAACCGGAGTACCCGGAGGAAACCCACGCAGGCACAGGGAGAACATGCAAACTCCAGGCAGGTGGTGCTGTGGTTGGGATTCGAACCAACGACCCTAGTACTGCCAGGCAGAAGTGCTAACCATTTAGCGATTTTTTTCCTCCCCTCTGTTTGCACCTGGTCATCTGGCTAGTAACATACCTCCTGTATTAGAATGCCTCCACTTTGGATGAAGGAGCACAGGGAGCTTTGGACAGCAGCACTGTTAGACTAGGTGGAGGAGAGTGCGAGATGTACTAGCCGATTTAGATACACTAACAAACTGAAGGCAACGTCCAACTCGCACGGTTTAAGCAAATACAGCAACAGTGTTGTTCCTTTTGGGATGAAGGTTTTACATAAATAAATAAAAGCTGATCATTGTAAGCACCAATGTCAATGTAAAATGGTATGTCTCAACCCTCTGACTGCTACATCTGCAGGTCAGCTTGTTCTATTGAAAAAGAACAGACTACCTGGCCAGATCACCAGGTGAAAATAAAAGAAAAAAAGCTTAAAAACTAAAACAAATGCAGCCACCAGATTTGGTAAACTGCAATATAGTAAATATTTGCCATTGAACTGCTTTAAAGTACTCCTGTGTTTTGCCCTTGTGCGTCAAAGCAACAGGTTCCACCAAAGCAGATGTAAACCCAAACTGAATGGCATGAATTGTGCACTAAGTACTTATTTTTAATAAAGTACATATTTTAGGGCCAAGTCGCACTGTGAATGCGTGCAGTGATGCTAGAAGAGGGTCATGTGCATTTTTCCATCTGTTGTGTTCCGTTGGCAACCCATTCATAATGACAGGGCTGCCTAAAAAACAACACACAGCAACGGATTGCTTAAGTGTGAATGAGCCCTCCAGCTTTTCTTGCATCTCAAAGCAGATGATCTCCTGCCTCCCAGGCAGCCATTTCCAGGGCAGGTTTGCAGAGAGTGACAAAGTGAACCACATGTCAGCAAAATGTAGCCGCTTGTAGCCTCCACCAGGGTGCATGTGACAGGGTGACAATGCCACAGAGTGCCTGAGAGACAGGAGCAGTGTGTTGTCACTCTAGAATAGGCATGGGGTGAAAATTGAATTTCTGGCTTGAGTTTCAATTTAACAGATCTTTTCACAAATTTCATGTGTTGCAGCTGCATGTGCCCTACCAACATACATAGCCCAGCTTACAAAGTGTCCCTGCAGGAGATTAGGACTTTAACCACTTGCCTACCGGGCACTTTTACCCCCTTCCTGCCCAGGCCAATTTTCAGCTTTCAGTGCTGTCGCATTTCGAATGACAATTGTGCTAAACAAATGAAAAAAGATTATAAAATTTTGCAAGCAGGTAATTTTTCTCTTTCTCTGATGTGCGTTGACGAACCTGCACTGATTGGCAGCACTGATGGGCACTGATGAGACAGCACTGACAGACTGCACTAATGAGGTGGCACTGACGAGTATTGATGAGGAGGCACTGATGAGGCTGCACTGATGGGCACTGAGAGGTGGCACTAATACGCAGCACTGAAGGGCACAGATTGGTAGCACTAACGAGCACAGATTGGCAGCACTGATGGGCACATTTGGGGCTGCACTGATAATCAGGGCACAGGTTATCAGTGTAGATGTCTCCTTTCACACTTTCCGGTTATCGGCAGTACTTTCCTCATGCTGTGACAGCGTGAGGAAAGTACTGCTGATAATCGGCAAGTGTGTTAACATGGTGATCAGCTGTGATTGGACATGGCAGATCACATGGTAAAAGGCCGCTGTATTTGGCCCTTTACCGTGTCATAAGATCAGATGTGCCCAATGGACACACAGATCATAAAGAGCGCAAGGTGCGTACCGCAGGAGGTTTGCGGGGGGCGTCACACATGACGCCCTCTCAGAACTGGACGACTGTAGCCACCTTGCTATAGCGCGGTCAACAAGTGGTTAAAGTGGTTGTAAAGGCATTCTCTGTATTAAGTTAAAAAAACTTCTGCATGCAGCTCCCCCTGCAGCCCCCCCCCCCAATTACATACCTGACCTCGATCTCAATCCAAGTCTCTCTCGCTCCTCATTGGCTCAGATATAGCCCCTTTGGCTTCCGCTGCTGTCAATCAGAGTCAGTGAGAGGAGCAGGGGCAGGGGTGAGCCATGCTCTGTGTGTCTTATGGATAGACAGAGCAGGGGTCCTGAGCGAGCACACATGAGTGTCCCTAGAGCAAGTGGCTTCCTCTGGGGGCATTCTGTGAGGGGAGGGGGGTGGAGCCAGGAGCACGCCCAGGGAACCCGAGAAGAGGAGGATCAGGGCTGCTCTGTGCAAAACCATTGCACAGAGAAGGTATGTATACCATATTTCTCATTTTAAAACAAAACAAAAAAACGAGCATTTAATATTACTTAGCTTATGTATAGCCAATATTTTTTTCCACTTTGGTTGCGGTGTGGAAGGACATGTCCCCACTATGGAAATTCAACCTGTTTGTCCTGCTGACCATTGTTATCACCAAAATAGAATGTGATGCTAAATCCAAATGTTCAACGTTTATAAAAGTTATAGCGGGGACACCTGTTCCAATGACAACTAAGAAGGACATTTTATCTCACTTCCTGCTTCATTTGCAGGACAGGAAGTAAAAGCAAATTCTTTCAAATGGAACATGGCCAAAAAAAAAAAAACTGGCAGCATTTTTAAAGCTGAACTCTAGACAAGCCACTAAGTACACAGTACACATATGAAATACATACATGGGTACTGTTGTACCTGACAAAGGATTTGTATTTTTGTCCGTCCAATCCTTTATGTACACAGATCTGCTACAAAACACAGCCCTTTCTGATGTGCAAGGACTATAAGAGGCTGATACCAAGTTAAATTCCATACTTAGGGCCCTTTCATATTGGCGCTCAGTCTAGATCCATCCACCAGTTTTTCAGCGGGATCCAGACTGAGCCACAACGTCTGTCTATTAGATGGAGGATGTAAATGGATTTACATCTGCCTACCATTGCGTCCATTCAGGTCAGTTTTTGTAAGCAGAACAAGACTGCATCCTATTCCGTTTAGACAGATCTGATTGGATGTAAAAGGATGCTGTCTGCTTATGTCCATTCCGTTTCTGTCTATTTTGAGCCTCGGTTCACACTGTAAACTGCATGCGATTCTGTGCATTGTGATTTGAGCCTATTCATTTTGAATGGGCTCAAGTCGCACCAAAGAACTGTGGGCACATTTTTTTTGGAACTGCACCGCAACCAAATCACTTTGTACTATGTGATCCAGTGTGGGCAATCCACAATGCGATTGCGATGCATTTGGGGTGTCATTAACTTTGTATTGACACCCGCAGCAGATCGCAAGCACAGTGTGATTGCAATGTGGTGGAGGAAATGTGCAGGATCACTGTGTTTACCACATCGCATATGTGTGACCTAGGCTGAGGGCTGGTTCACACCTGAATTGCACAGAAATGCAGTCTGCGTTACTGTGAGATTCCTGTGCAACTCAGCGTGGCTCAATTTTCAGACCAGTAATTTGCATGGGATGAAATCGCACTGGACCGCACAAAAATGCACAGAACAAGGTCAAATTTGCCCTGTCTTCTCGGTGTTCCCTTTTGACTAATGTCATATTTAATCCCTGTCTCCCAAATAGCCTGGCCTTGGCTCATGTGCATCCCTGGACCAAGGCCAATTTATTTCAGTTGCCACACTTGGTCCATTCAGCTACTGGTAAGCGTAAATCCTTTGCCAAGATTCAAAAAGCCACTCATATGCCACCCCACCAATTTTATGTTTCTCTACAGATATGTCATTTCTTTTCCTCCAAAGCCCCTTCTTTGACTCTTGAGAAGCCTACCTCCTTTGAACATATCTGTATTCAAGGCCCATTCCAACGGGGCATAGTTTCCTCTATGTATGAGCTGCTTTTAGACACCTGCCCCCTCTCTATTGATATTCACCTTTATATGCGTAAATGGCCCTGAATCCTCCAATGTGACATTGCATTGGATCAATGGAGCAGGATTTGGGAGGCTGCCTCCAGATCTTCTATATGTGTAGTATATAAAGAAAATACTTATAAAATTCTGATGTTTTGGTATAGGACTCCTGAGGTTCTCCATGCTCGTAATCCGAATGTTTCTTCTGTCTGTTGGCGATGTGGCAAGGAAACTGGCACTTTTCCACATTTTTTTTGGACTTGCCAGTACATTGCACCCTTTTGGAGAGAGGTCCTTAAAGCGGAGTTCCACTCATGCTGTCAAAAAAATAAAAGTCAGCAGCTGCAAAAACTGTAGCTGCTGACTTTTAAAAAACACACACACTCACCTGTCCCTCGGTCCCGTGGTGTGTCCTCTGCAGCCCGTTTTACCGGCCCTCTTCTCTCCCTGGGCGCCGGCATCTTCAGTGTGGGCACCTGGCTGTGACAGCTCTATCTCTATCTCTATCTTTTCCATTAATGTGAGGAGCATCAAGGATGTGTCTAGGAGGCAGACTGTGCTGACCTTTCTTTCCACACAGCAGAGTGATGTGTACATGCTTCAGGAGTGCGCACTTCCCCCTCTGAGGAGGTACACTCATTTGTCCTCCCAGTGGACCCACGGTCCCTCCTACTGGTCTGGGGGTGGCGATTGCAAGTCCGCAGGGGTTGCGGTTCTTATCAGGGGAGGACGTTTCACTGTTGACTCCGTCCATGAGCTCGTCTGTGGCCGCCTTCTGGTCATAGACGGTTCGTGGGCGGGGGAGCCCGTTAGGCTCATCAACGTGTACGCCTCCCCCGGAGAAGAACGCGCGGCTGGAACTTTTCCAAACCCTGCGGACGCAACTCACCACAACGAGAACAGTAGTAATCAGCGGTGATTTTAACTGTCCGATAGAGGAGGATGGGCGCAGCTCCAGCATGTACGCAAAACTCGACGCCACCTCGAAGCTGCTCCGGGAGATGATTGCGGAGGCTTCCCTGCGAGACGCAGTGGGATCGTGGGGCGCGCGGTTCCGTGAACTACTCATGGAGCCGCCCCGATGGATCTGTGCGCTCCAGGATTGACTTTGTGCTCACCTCCAGGGCAGTCAGGCACCGCGGGTTCTCCATGGTTCCCTGCTTTTTCTCTGACCACAGGGCCATTCACTTTCAAGGCGATCTGGGAGAGGGCTTTGCCCCGGGCCCAGGCTCTTGGAAGCTGAATTGCACCCTGCTGGACGATGAGGAACTGCTAGAGGAGCTCAGGGAAACCTAAGGTGCCTGGCGAGGGGAGAAGTCTTTCTTTCCCAAGGTAAGCGACTGGTGGGAGTTCGTGAAAGTCAAGCTGCGCAGCTTCTTTCAGGCCAGGGGACGCCAGCAAGTGTGCGCCAGGAGGAGGGAACTCAGGAGGCTGCAGCGTCAGCTGCAGTCCCTGCAGGACCTTCATCTCTGTGGCTGGGACGTGAGGCAAGACCTGGAGGACACCAAGAAGAGCTTGAAAAAGCACTTTGAGGAAGAATCCAGGCACATTGTCTTCCATGCCAAGGTGGAGCATCTCGAGAAAGGTGAGAAGTGTAACACTTTCTTTTTCAGGAAACTCCACTCAGGACACACTCCCCTGTCTGAGCTGCGCGACAAGACTGGAACACTCCAGAAGGGGAAGGAGGCCGTGATGGAAGTGGTCAGCGACTACTACTCCGACCTCTACTCCCCCAAAGCAACAGACACGGCAGCGGCCGACAGGTTCTTGTCAGGTATCTCTAATGCTATTGATCCTGCAGGTTTGTCGGCCACCAACGCCCCCTTGACGTTGGAGGAACTGCACTCTGCCGCTAAATCCTTTAGGCGAGGCAGGACCCCGGGCTGCGACGGTCTCCCAGCGGAGCTCTATGTAGCGCTGTGGGATCTCGTGGGCCCGGACCTGCTCGAGCTGTACGAGGAGATGGTGGTGGAGGGCAAGATGCCTCCTTCGTTGAGGGAGGGGATGATCACGATCCTGTACAAGCGTAAGGGGGAGAGATGTGACTTGAAAAATTGGCGTCCCATCTCTCTCTTGAACGTGGACTACAAGATCCTCGCCAAAGTTATGGCGAACAGGTTGAAGGCTGTCATCGGACAGATAATCCACCCGGATCAGACTTGTGGCATTCCTGGCCGCAGGATTGCGGACAGCCTAGCGCTTGTCCGGGACACGGTCCAGTACATCAAAGACCGCCGTGTGCACGCGGCCCTGGTCAGTCTTGACCAGGAAAAGGCCTTTGACCGTGTCTCCCATGGGTTTATGTGCAGAGCCCTGCGCAGGTTTGGTCTTGGGGAAATGTTCTGTTCGGTTGTGGATATGATGTATAACGGCATTTGTAGTTCCGTGCAGGTGAACGGCTGGAAGACTGACCCCTTCCCGGTCCTCTCCGGGGTCAGACAAGGCTGTCCTCTCTCACCTCTGCTTTTTGTTTGCTCTTCGCCGAATGCATCAGACGGAATCCAGAGATCGGGGGAATCACCGCACCGGGACCAGACAGACGGGAAGTGAAGTG